GGGGGGGGCCCGGGGCCCGGGGGGGGGGGGCTGGGGGGCAGGGCCGGCGTGCGGGGCGCATCACGCAGACTCTGACTTCACAGGGGAGCTGCTGCAGGAAGCACGGGGCAGCTTCCTCCTGTGGTGAGGGACCCGGGCCCTCTGGTTGCCTAGGAGACCTTCTCTTGCAAATGTCGTCTCCTCCTTGGCCTCAAGGTGGCGCCACGTGGCCGAGACAAGTCTGGCGTGTGACTCCCTTCACACAGAATGCCATGTCCTGCTGTCGTCATGATGGGTTTAGTGAGGCCCGTCCTTCCCGCGGAGCAGTGAGCAGTCGGCCAGGTGTCTCCACGGGCACCCGGAGCCGCCGGGCGGTCCCATCTGGCAGCGGCTGTCACACGGGGTTGGGGGGACGAGGACAGGGCCCCATCCGCGTTGGCGCCTTCCTGGGGTGCGGATACTCCCGAGATGGCTATTTCAAGAGGCCGCCGTGACGTCACTGAGCGGGAAATCGGGAAGGACTTGCGAGCCGGCCCAGCGCACCCGACGCAGCCCTGGGTCCCGCCCCCGTCGGTGCTCGGCCAGTATCGACGCTGAGTTCCTGTGCCCCGTTCCCATGAGTGCCCCGTGTCCCCTCACCAGGCCTTCGGCTTTGGCGTGGTTCCCGCGTCTGGAACGTGTTTTATTGGAGATCTTGGGGCAGAGGGTTGAGAGGGTCCCCGTTGCACCCCACCCGGGTCACCCCCTAAGCGGGCACTTCCTGTGGGAGGGGCGCTCGGCTCGCAGGGGCCCCCGATGGCCACACGCAAGGTCTGCTCCTCAGGGGTGCCCCGAACCCCGCGAGAAACTCGGAATGAGTGGCTCACGGTCTCTTTAAGTCGGGGTTTGCCGTGGGAAGGATGCTGTTGGACTGGGGTCCCTCGGGAGCCCGAGCTGTGTTCCCGTCTGTCTCCCCCGGCATGTCGTCTGTGTCTGACACGTTTATAGCGCTCACTGCCTGGTTACTTCTGTTGGGGGACGTCTGCTTCCCGTCTCCCTCTGTTCTGGTGGCTGCCTCCTCCTGTCACACGTGGCACGAGAGTGGGGACCCAGCTCAGTCAGTGGCCTGCCCGGAGCGGACAGGGTAGCAAGAGATGGCGATGAGCTGGCCGCGCACATGGCCTTCGATCCTGATTTCAGAACGTTTGTGAGTCCCTGGCCCATCCGGACCAACCCTGCGTTCGGAGCAGTTGAGGTTGCTCAGAGCGCCCTCTGGGGACAGAACAGCGTCCTGCGTGTTTTCACGTTTTCCGGAACATAGGTGTGCGCGCGATTGTGACAAACCGGAATCGGAATTCACAGAGCATGTTCCCCCATGGGCATTCGGACCAGTGGGCAGAAAACTCCGATTCGCAGCGTTAGCCCAACATCTAACGTACAGATGCAGGGGATGCGTGTGCCTGTGTGTGATGGTGCCGGGCAGAGATCTAAGGTACACTTTGCACACACCTGGGGTGCTTGACACACTGCAGTATTCCAGGGCTTCTCCGGGTCCGTAGAGAGCTCTTACCTCACTTGTGTATTTTATCCTTGAGAAAGCTCAGGCCCAGAGAGAAGTCAACAGTCAGAATTAGACCCAGGTGCTGTGCGCTTGTGTAATTATCCCTCAGACCACGAGGGGGGCTGTCACCCCATCTTCAGGTCTCTATCCTGGCCTCTTTGCTGCCTGGGAGGGAGGCGGCTGGTGGAGGGGAGGATGGAAGAGCAGATTCCTGCTCCGCCCGCCAGCCTCACCGCTCGATGGCCACATGGGCGGCTGGACAGTCAGCATTCACTGGTACCAGGTTTCCAATGCCAGGAATAACGCAGGGCTGGCCACGCCCATGCACCACGCCCTGCCTTCCGGCTCTCCCATCTGGAACGCCTTATCCCAGCTGCCCTCGGTTCCCTCCCACCTCCTCTCTGTAGGCGCAGGCATCTCCCTGGGAAACGCTCCTTCTCCCCGCTCCCTTTACTCCGAGCCTGGCGGCAGCTTTAATTGCATTGTTGCCGTTGATTGAACTGTGGGCTCTTCCCACCAGACGCCTGGCTGCTTCTTGAGGGCCAGCATCTTACGTGCCTCCGTCTTGGCAATACCTAGTCCAGTGTCTCGCTGGGGCAAGCTTGTGAGTCAACTGGCTGCATCAGTGGATGGATGTTTGGGTGCTTAGATGGAAAAGGAGATGCATCAGTGGATGGATGTTTGGGTGCTTAGATGGAAAGAGGCGGGGAAGAGAAGTGAAAATAAGAAAAAGAGAAGGAGAATGGGAGGGAGAGTGAGGGGAAGAAATTGGGAAGGGAATATGGAGGGATGGATGGGTGGGTGGATGGATGGATGGATGGATGGATGGATGGATGATGGGTGGGGGGAAGGATAGAGGAGTGGATGGAGATAAAAATGAATGAATGGGTGGATGTTGCATGGATAATGGACGGGTGGCTGATGGATAGATAGGTGAATGGGTGGAAGCATGGATGGATGGATGAGGATGGATAGATGCGTAGATGGATGGGTGGTTGGGTGGAAGAATGGATGGATGACTATATGGATGTTGCATGGATAATGGATGGATGGGGAGGAGGTGTGGTGGGTGATGGGTGATGGGTGGTGGGTGGTGGGTGGATGGAGGGAAGCATGGCTGGGGAGATGGGTGGGGAGGAGGTGCGGTGGGTGATGGCTGGATGGGTGGCTGTGGGGTCTATACTTCAGCGTGGCACCTACAGACCACCCACCTGACCCTCTGCTCTGTGTCTCCTTCTTGCAGGTCGTGGGCATTTTTGCTGGATTTGGGCTCCTGCTGTTGGTGGCCTCGCCCTTCCTGCTCCTGGCCACCCCCTTTGTACTTTGCTGCAAGTGCAAGTGCAGCAAAGGCGACGATGACCCGTTACCCACCTAGAGGAAGGCACGACCCGGGAGCGAGACCCCTGCCTCCGGGAGCCGGACTCTCCCCCCGCCTCCGCCCCCTCTCACTAAACATCCTTCTTGCCTTATGTGCCCCATTGAGCTTCAATGTCCCGTGGGTGCCGGGATTGGGGGCCGATGTCAGAGCGTCTGCTGAGGCCCCAGTGGAGTCATCGAGGCTGGGG